TCCAGGCCGGGACCCCGGGCGGGGGTCTTGAAAACGACCATCCGGTCCTTTCGCCGGTCGTCGGCCTCAGTGGTGGAGTTCCCGGACTGGCTCGAGGGGTCCGAGACTTTGGACTCGGGGGAGGGGGTGGGGGTCTGGGACTGGATGGAATAGACATTCTGGAAGGGGTTCCCGTTCGGGCTCACCATCGTGGTCTTCGTAACAGGGGTAATCACGCTATCAGACTCCGAAGAGCGTACCTGCTCCCCAGGGCTTGCCGTGAGGTTTCTATCGAGTTGTGTGGTGTTGTACACGGAATATTTGGTCTTTTGATTTCGACCCATCCCATACACCGACTTGTGAACCGCATAAGAATTTTTCAATAAATTAAGAGTATTCTTTGCGGAGTTATGAGAAGTCTTTCTATGGTCGCCAGTTTCTCTATTGGGGGGAGCACCGTGAGAAGGGTTTGAATTGTTGGGCATGTGTAAGTATCTCCTTTTAACACGGAATAAGTAAGTTTGCTAGGTGCACTAGTTTTCTTTTGTTTTTTTGTTTGATTTTTAGCTTCCTATTATTACCTTTCAAAAATTAGGTTAGTTATCTCTTCGAAAAAAGAGTCAAGTTTGCACTCTCTTGAATTATCTATACTTTTACCTTACACACGTAAATAATTAAAGAGATACTAGATATGGAGAAAGGGTAAAAAGGGAAGTTTAGGAGTGAAACATAGGATCTCTACCTTCAGTTTTTATGCGATAAAATCTATTACAAATGGAATATTCTTTTGGATATTTTTCGTGTCTCTGTGACAATCTTTGCAGGGGATGCTTTATGTAGAAAGCTGAAAATAAAAGTAGCAAATGTATTCATGAATTTGAAAATGGAAAATACACTTTCGATCCTTGAATAATATTTTTCATCCTCCAAATAGATGCTTGACTAGATTATTTATCCCTCACAAATTGTCATTCAAAAAAAAAAGGAGTCTATTTGTGTTTGTATGTGGCACATATGAACACACACAAGCGCCGATGTTTGATTTCAAATCAGAACATGATTTTGTATATTATCCAGGTCACGGTTAATATTGGCAATAGGGCACTAGAAGCAAAAAAAAACTCTTTAATTGTATCGGACTTGAGTGGTTGTGTCGTAGAAAAGCTTTCTCGTATGGACATATAGAATTTCCATTCCTGACGGCACTTATCCGATGATTTCAACACTATCTGATCGACCTCCTGGTAGAAAGGAGGAGACAGACGCATGAACAATGGCACAATTATCCCTTCGGATGAGGTAAAAAAATCGTCGTGCACGGCGCCGACTACGTTATTTTCTAGTGAGGAATATACCTTCTGAACCCTTTCGGGTTGAGCCTGAAGTTTGTTGCTATCGTTGGGTTGCCCATTCTCTTCTCCATATAAGAGATTGGCATCTATATGGGGATTGCCGCGCGGGGACGGCTCAGCGCTGTATACAAGGAAGCTCGCGTCGAAATAGGACGAACCAATTTCGTAGAAATTTTTGAGCGTCCTAATCAACTGAAAGCCACGCCGGGTGTAAAAACTCATAAGAAAAAGATCTTTGGCAATGCAATGGAGCCAAACCTCCCGCACACCTCGCTGAACGATCGGGTCCTGCCCCGCAAAATCCCCCTCCAAGGGCGCAGCCCCTTGAAAGAGCGTATCGAGGTCGGGATTCTTCGTGTTGGAGGAGCATGTGGCGTGGTCAAGTGTGTGATCCTCCCCCATCCACCTTTCCCGCGCCCTTCGAATTCTCATCCAAGACGGTGTCCATAGGTCTTTGGACTTCAAAATAGCGTCCATTATCCAATGCCGCTCCTTCACACCCTCCTCAGTAAATATACCCACCTTGGCCGGGTCCTTCGAGGAGTCTGCACAACCCCCAACCTTTACCCCCGCATTGACATCATTTGACAACGAAGCGGTGTTGATAGACGATTCGGCGAATAAAGTTAATTTTAGAACCTTCGCAATACTTGAAGGGTCGTAATGTAAAAACAACGAGGCCCGCAGGGGCATATTCCTGACGTAGTCAATGAAATAATCGAGAAGTATACCGCCAAGCCCAAGCCTACGGAAAATCGGATCGATCGCGAGCGAGCAGAGGTAGCACGTGGGATTGGTGAACAAATACCCACGCTGATGCCGCGCATAACCGATCTCTCCCGCTGCCAACCCAATCACGACCGAATAATTCTCCTCGCTCGCGTCGTTATCCCCAGCTGTGGGATCGTCCGTGTCGGATGGGGAATGGATCATTGGGGTAAAGTCCACTCCCTCCTCGTCCGAAATTCCCCGAACGTGAAGTTGCGTGATGGAAACCAACTCCTCCCCCACCGCAGGGGATTTTTTTTTCGTTTTTTTGTTTTCAGGGGATCCTCGGATCGCCTGGGAGGCCGCGGGGGTGGTGAGCGCGACGACGCTCAGGCAAGAAGGCCCGGACAGCCATCGGTAATAATCCCGATTGTACGCGATGGGGAAGGAGCGAAGGTGCAGTCGCCAAATCGCGCCCAACTCCCGCGGCCGGACGCCGCAGCGCAGCCTCAGGGGAAAGGGAGGGTCGTCCTGGACCCCTTCAGGAATAGAAGGGGATCCCGATGCCATAAATCACACAGCGCGAAATTAAAGCCGGTGAACACTAAGTTGGAAAAAAGGAAGAAAAAAAAACTTGTCACGTTCTTTTTTTGGGGGGGGAGGGGAGGGGGAGGGAATGAAGTAAAGATAGGTGGTGAAAGTGATTCGGGGAAAAATAAAATGTAAGAGAACAACAGAAGTTGACGGCAAAAAATCTCATGTCCTTCCTTTAGGAATCATACTAATATAATATTAAAAAATATATATGTATATGTGTTTGTTTTGATTAGATAATTTGAACTTTCAACGAAAATAATTGCGCACACGTGTAGTCAGGTTATGTATATATATATATATGTTATATATAGATATATATAAAAATATATATGATAAATAAGTAAAATCAAACGTAAAGGTATGTAAAATAATCGAAGCTTGAAATTTCGCTTCATTATACTTCCTTTACATTTGACTTGCTCATTAGTTTCCCTCGTCAGAAAAACAACATCGAATATATTTTATATGTAATTATGGAAATCACTGAACCAATTTATACCCCGCTGCCTCCGCTTTTGCGGTTTTCAATTGTCGTGTCATATACTCAAGAACAAAAAAGCATATCACTGTGTGCAATGCAGCACGAGAAAAATACGGTAAAAAGGAGCTGTACATTGACCAAAATCCTTCATCACGTAGAGTCTTGGTGATACATTGAATCGTGTTCGTGTAGCGCCGTTCGACACCGGCTTGTAATTTCGCCTCCATCGACATCCGCACCCTTGCGAGCTCCACGGGCATGGTAACAAAGCCATAAATTAAGGCGGTCAGCACGCTCGCAACATTCACAACGATGTTATCATTGAACGGTATCTTTCGCTCACGGTTGCGGCCCCGTAGTTTTGTTAAAATCTGGTCGTGTACGGCGACCTGCGCGACCCCCACTAGGGCCGCACGCGAGCCCAGGGCCCCAAACCCCAGCCAAAAGCCCATGAACCCACTAGCTGACCAAATCCTCCCGGCGGCATTAAAAAGGGACATCTTCGCCTTCGATTGGGTGGTGGTTTGCAGAACCATGCAAACCTCCACCGGGGAAGAGAGAAAGGAGGCAAAAACCCCCGCCCCCGCGCCCGCCAACGCGCGATCCAGAATGTTGGCCTTTGACGGATCCGCAGAGGCCTTGATACCCAATCCCACTTCCGCCTTCAGCAGGGTATCGCGAAAAGAGGGGTAGAACCCAAGACGGCCCGTGGTGTAGACCACCTGCCGTCCAAGCCCGCTCGAGAGGCCTCGGTAAAAGCCTTTTCGGGCAGTGGCCTTGAAGGCCGCCATTTGGCCATCCTTCCCCTCCGGCGCCGTCATTAAAGTGTTCTTCCACATCTCGAAAGGGTGGGCAAAACACCAAGCGAACATCCCGGCAAACCCCGAGACCGCCAAGGTTTGGCATTGTGAGATGGGCACCTGTGAGGCGTGGATCGTTTTTACGTCAGACATTATTCGGTCAAATTACCCTCGATAGAATAAGGATAAAAAAATATGGGAATATAATAATACTAAGGGGATATTAATTAAAATTCTGTAGGCGATAGATTTCACTTGAACGTTAAGAAAACAAAATTTGAAAGTAAAAGAATAAATTGAAGGATTATCCTCTACGGATATAACCGGAGCACTAGACATATCTTATTCACATACACACGCCTAGAATATAAAGAGCATTTTAGCTGAGAAGAAATGCACGCAAAGGACTTTCTTTTCTTTGTCTAGTAAGAACTATAGAGGGAAACAACGCAAAGCCTTAACCGTATTCCATAGGGTGCTCAACAAGTAGCACCCATCAAAAGGAGTGAAAGGTTCAAACACATTTGAGATTAAAAAGTCAAATCTGGAAAAGGGAGGGAACTACCTTGGTGAGACACTCTGCAGAATGATTGTGTCGTACTAAATTATTTTTCTAGCAAAATATAAGCAAAAAAAGTAATAATATCTCAGATCTCCTCAATCTCAGAACTCAAAGATGACGCAGAAGCCTCCTTTGTAAAAGAAACCCGTCCACTGGGCTCATGGCCCGCTGCCACATCTTTCAAGACGCGCTTGGACAATGAATCGCGCCAGTGGTCGTACAAATGGGTTGGAGTGCGCCCAGGCTGCCAAACATTCTGATAAAACCGAAATATGTATTGAAATCGTGTGGTACCCTGATAATCAAAGCTCTTTACCCCCTGAATAATCGCCTCGTCCTCCTCAAGGGTAAAGCGTTTACGGCGTTTGATTGTTCTTGATGGAGGTACTGAGGCGGTGTAGTGTGGATGCCCTGTGATGGCAGCCCCATCCTCCTTTCCCTTTTCATAAAGTGTGGCGCTATCAAGCTCGTCAAAGGCTCGAATCGCCGCGGCGACCCTCTCCTCATGAGTTGTCGAATGCCGTAGGCGTAATTGCGGCGCGCGTGGAGATGCCGCCTTCGCATCGATCGCCCCACACCGGCTAACCTCAGCCCTGAAAGTGAAATCGGGAGGGGGAGGGCTAGGGACTGAAATGCGGTCATGGCAAGCCGTTTTGACGGATGCACGCCGCGAAAATTTTTCCGAAGTCTCCCGCCCCTGCGAACCAGCCGGGAGGAGGATCAAAGGCTGAGAAGTCGGCTTCAATAGCGGAGGGGACTGCGGTTTATTCACCGCACACGCAGCGGGAGACCGCCCATCCGCGGGGCGATCCCCCACGGCGTCGAAGTTCTCGACCACGCGGGCGGTACCCGGGACCGCGGCCACGCGCTGAAGAACCTGCAGGGCGTCCTCCTCGACCACAAACCGGTCCAGAAGCTCAAAGAGGGCGCTGACCTCACAGGGCGGGTCCAGCACGTCCCGTTTGACCTCCACAATATCCTTCAACATCCGCGTGAGGCCATCCCGGGAACGGGGTTGAGGGGGGACTTCACGATCCTTCGGAGACGGGTTCGTTATCGCAGCGGCTCTCAGGATGGGGTCCAGATTACTGCCGGTGGGCTGTTGTTTAGGCAAAGAAGGCGAGGTGGATAGACGCCTCCCCGCGCAGGGGTCGTCCGGCTCAGAGCATCGGGCTCTTTTGCGTAGCTCGACGCTTGGCCTCGCGACGTCCTCGCCCATATTTGTCCTCTCCTTTGGTGCCGGCAGCCCAGATGAAGAAGTCACCCCACTCGCGCTCGTCAATCGAAGATTCGGTCCATTTCCCCCTTCCCTCCTTCCCCTTTCTCGCCCCCTTTCCTCCCTGACCTGCGAACCGCCCTCTGTGGAAACCCACCCCGAGCGCAGGGGGTTGCGATAGCTCAGCTGGGCGCAGTGGCCCCGCAAGAGGTTCGACAGCATGAGGAGGTCCGGCATGGGATCGCCCTCCATACTCCCACATACGTCCCCTTCCGGGTGTTCTAAACAAGCCAAAAATTGCCCAAGAAGCGTGTGAAAGAGCATAAGGCCTGAATCCCCGTCCAACAGAGCCCCGCCGCAGGCGCGGGTTGATGGGCGGGATCCCTGCAAGGCCCCCTCCTCCCCCGGGACACTATCCCTCCCCTCGGGGGTAGACCCACCGCGGGCGTCTTTAATTCGAGATAGGTTCACCGAACTGCACCACCGCAGCATGATATAAAGCTCGGAGGGGGTGAGGGGGCTTTGAATGGGTCCTATTCGGCCGCTCGCGAGGTCCCGAGGCCCATCCTTCCCCCCACTGCGATTCGCCTCATTCGCGTCTTCGGATGGGTTAGAGCGTCGTTGAGGGGTGGACAGGTAATTCTTTCTCTTTGGCTTGACATGGTCCGGTGGGTTATTGCGGGCTGCTACGTCCGAGGCATCGATCATGGCAGACACAAGTCCTTCGGGGTATGTGCAGGTACGCCAAAAAAGGGGATTCTCGTGGACCTGAGGAAGCCCAACGATCGCGAGGACTGCCATTATATTGCCCCGCTGCAAGTGACTCAGTAAAATGCGATGAAGGACATCGAAATATTGAAAATCCATCCTGTTTTATCTCCCGTTATCTCTACCGTCCTTTAAACAGTACTTCAGATTAAAAAATCTATGGTAAGCGTATTTGACTCTCTTACGGCACCTAATGGTGGAAAAAATACAGAAAGGCATCAAACGAAGTGTCTTTACCCTCAACCTGATGAGGATCATGCGCATACACATAAAGGAATGCAAGACACAAAAACGAAAGACATTTTTTTTGTGTGTTATTTGATGGTTGAAATGATTAAAAGAGTTCCTAGAAAGCAAGGCATATGCTTACAGGAAATGAGTTATGCATGTACATTGATTTATACTCAGGCTAAGGAATTTGTGTGGTGCTGGTTGATGATGGTACATCTTTGTACCATGGTCACATTAGTGGACTTCTTTAAAAGATATAATTCGACGATCAATATATAGTCATGGGTTCCATTTGACTTGGTTTCCTGCATCTAAAAGCTGGCGTTTGGAACGTGGTGGTGAGCACACCAGTTAAGAGCGTTCCACCCTATACTGAAGCTGTCTACTACATGTCCAAACTTTCCCTAATCGATGGAAAAAATGTGCCGGTTCTTCAACGGAATCACCCTCGCCTTCTGGAGCATCCGTTTCTCCATCTCCTCCAATTCCATTAGTTTATCCAGACGCTTCTTGGAGCGCTCCGCATCACGTTGCACTTTTAAAGCAGCCGCCTCAGCCTCCTCATCCTCTTTTGCGGACACCGCCGCCATCTGCTCGTTCATCTTCTGCACCCATGCATCCTGTTCCGAAGCCAGCGCCGCTGCTTCGCTCTCATCAGGCGCGCTACCAACACCCAAAAGGTTATTTGCTTCTTTTTCAGAAACCGTTGAAACTTCACGCTCTTCCCCGAATCCTTGGCCTTGGGTAGGTCCAGCCTCACTCTCGGGGCGGGCAGCTGCTTCTCGAGCCCGCCGAGCTTCCATGATCTTGGACAATGCCATCTGCGCCCTCGAACTGCAGTTAAAATGCTGAAATGAGTCATCTTTTCCTTCCTGAAACACGGTAGGCTCATCAACCGGGGCTCTAAAAATAGACGGAGGCTTCGATCGTGTGGGCATCGACTCGACCTCGGAGCTTGCGTCATCCTTTGAGGGGACGTTGACGTGGTCATAGGGAAGAGCGCACGGCGGAGATTCCACCCTTTCAGTTCCCATCCCGGCATCCGCCGCTGAGGGATCCAGGGAGGCCGATTCCGACGCGATCCCAGTCGCCTCAGGGGCGCATCTGACGTCTTGAGGGTTATCAACATCCTCCGCCGGGGGTTTCCTCGCCTCCCTGGCGACAGGGCAAGGCTCGTCCACCACGACGTCCCCGGTTTGCGCATCGCCCGACATACCCACCCCATCAGGATCCCCCCCGTCCGCCTTCGCGGAAGGCGAGTTCGACCCACCAACCGCGCGAAAACGCTGCTTCACCTCTTCAGCAACCGCGGCCGACTGCTCGGATAAAACCGGCGGGACGACGCGCAGAATGAGCGTCAGGACGTGCGTCGCGCGGTCAAAACGCGCACTCGCGGGGGTTTCCTCTACTGTAAAAGGCAGCACTACTAAGCCCTCGTAGTGATTCTGGGCGGTGGTGGGGTCGATGCGCAGAGCGCTGCCATCTTCGGTGATGCTGATATCCAGCCCCGACGCATCCTGCACGCGGTCAAAGGTCAATTTGACCACCAGCTCCTCTGGCACCCCAATGCGCTTATCCACCACTTTCCAGGACCAAGCATCCGTCAAGTCAATATGACCGCGGTGAAGGATGCTATGTGGAGGGAGTAAGGGCTTCCGATCCATCCCGACGTTGACTTTGGGGCTATTCACATGCGGCGTAGGCGCAGGTACCTCACCGCGGCGTTCGGCCCGTGACGACGTCGATGTAGGGGCGGAAACCTGGGAATTCCTCCCTGTCTCCGCCTTCTCAGTCTGCAGTAGCTGAGCGGTAGGCTTGGTCAGTACGGGGGCGTCTCGATTGACTTCAAATAATGAAGCCCCTTTTTTATCCTTTGTGCGTATGGTTTGATTCTTCAGCGTACCGACCACCGTCGCGACAGAGCTTGACAGTCGCGTAAACTCAAATCCGTTTGACTCATTATAGCCGCTGTTGATGTGCTCAACAGCGATCTCAACAAGAAAACACAAGAATCGATTGCTCCGGTCCGAAAGGGAGAGGGTCTGAGGGTGAAATACGGCGTCGTACACATAACACCATGCGTTATTTGAATCGGCAACCTTGTTATTTTCTCCTTTCCTTGACTTTCCGTCCGCCTCTTCCTTCCCCTTGTTAAAACCGTTGAATGGTTCGATTCGCTTTTGTGAAATGGAAACCGGTACGTGCCAATTGCTTCCCATTCGATCGCCGGTTGGTTCCTCGCGGTATACCGGAACCTTCTCACTGGAACACATATTGACAAAGCTTCTGATGTCCTTCAGTGTGGTAGCCGCCCCAGCTACCATGGGAAGAAATTTCTTCATATCCGACCCAGAAATAATTTTTGTCATGGGATTCATAAGCTCCACGACGAACCCAGGATGAGGAAAAACAAATTCGAAACTAAAGTCACCGCCTTCTTTAGCCTCACGCTCTGCTTGTTCCAAGTAAGCCTCCTCCTCGCGTAAGACTTCAGGATCACTCAGGGACTCCATATATTCATGCATTAGCTTGGCGAAAACAGGGTCCTTTATCTTCTCTCGGATAGCTCCTAGTTCCTCTGGGGTAGCCTGGAATGCTCTACCTTTTCCATCGGATGCAGCGTTCCCATTATTACCACCATGCGTGTTGCTTCCCTCGCGATCAGGTCTAGAAATCGACAGGTTTATTGTTTCTAGCGGCATTAGCACAGTATTATTTGGTCGATACCTTATGTAATACAGATAACTTTTTTTTGCCTTGAATCTATGTTATAATTACCTTCTAAAGAATAAAAAATGCAAGACACACGGTATTTCGATCTCGATGTCTGCACAGGATAAAGTAAAAACAGTTAAAATTAATCGTCGTAACAGTGTATGAAAGGATAAAAACATTTAAAAACGGATAGGAAGATCGTTGACGAAAAATTCCGTTTTACCAGTCTTAACTCTGTTAATAAATAAATGAAAATATCCAAAAACGTTGTAACGATCACGATTCCTATGGTGAAACCTTGACCTATTGGTGAGCGGAGAGAAAAGGGGGAAACAACAAACTCCTGGAATCGACTCTTCGCTCCGCCACTAGTGCCCCTATCTCCCTCAGATCCGACGCGCTGTAGACGGCGTCGACAGGAGGCACGAAACCCCATTGCAGCTGCCAGGCGGCCTTGCCCTCGGGGCTCTGAGCCAGATGCGGCCCAGGGTGCAAGTAGCGACGGGCCGAGGCGTGGAGGTTCCCTCCCCCACCTAATACAGACAAACCCTGCCCTGATGCCTCCCCTCCTCTTTCTGTGAAAAGCACATCAAGGGCTTGCTCGTAAAGGTCGTCCTGTCGACGGTCCCGCCGCTCTGGCTCCGGCCCCATGCCTTCGAGCTCCCCCCCCTTCATCTGTTGGGGCGTCCAAGACGAGCCCGCCGCCATGCCGGGGTTGAGAAAAGCCGGCTTGGGTGGCTGTGCCGCCGTTGACCGTGGACGATACAACCCGTCCGGTGCGGAAGTGTAACACAAGGTAAGCTCCTCCCCGGGCTGTACCTCGCGTATGGTAAAGACGTGGACGTAAGGATGACACAGCCACTCCAACGGCACTCCGGCGAAGAGGTTGTCCAGGACGTCGATCCCGCACAAGGAGCTGGGGGTGCTCATCGTGAAGGACGTGTTGGGTAATGGGCTGTGATTGAGCTTATCAATAAGCGGAACCAACGTCGCAGAGCCCTCTCGGCGGGAGAGAACGAGGCTTATCCACCACGCATACTCAGCTTTGCCAATCGCCCATTGTGTCGGGTTTGCCGCTGTGTGACGGTCCCCGTCGGATGGAAATGGGGACGTGAAACGGAGCTTCTCACGCACGTATGGGCTGAGTGGCTCACCTTTCATATCCTGATGAAAAAAATCCCACAAACTAAGCGCGGGACTCATGGGTGTCGAGGCGGTGCGCGGTTCCGCCGTGTCCTCTTGCGAAACCGCTGTAAGGGTGGGTGGGGGAAATGATGAAACCACTGAACCCGCCGCTTGGTTTTCTGCCGAAGCGATGTGGATTTTCAACAATTTCATTACCTCCTCACGCGATATAAAGGGCAAGTTCCGAACAGGCACAACGTTTTCCTTAAGATACTGCACGTACCCGAAGTGCGGCGCCGTCGGGTCGTCAGAAACGGAGATCAACTGGCCAGCCAGATCCTCCAAGTGAATAAAATAATCAAGTAGTGGATCCGTCGCGCGGGGCGGATCCGCAAAGAACACCGCCTCAGTTGGGAGGCTCAGCACAAACATCCCAGCGGGTATATGCTTGGTTGCATAGAACCTGCTTGTCTGCGAGTGGGCTCGCGGCGGTGATTGTGATGTGTCAATCGCGGCAGACCATGTTGAATAACCACGTGGACTGAGGGTAACGAACGGTGAGATAATGGCCTTCAAATCAAAGCGGCAACTGTTGATAAACGCCGAATCCGCCGCTCGTGGCATAAACCACAGCTTTCGATCGCCATCAACCTTGGTGTAAGCGGAAGATCCTGAACTGGGAAAGATCTTGTCTTCAAGACCCTGTTGAACCGAAATCGCTTCAGGTGAAGAAGACAACGTGGCAGGGTGCGCTGCGCTTGCTAGATTCATTTTGTCAGGTGCACCAGAATAAGGCGGCCCCCATCGTCGATTAATAGACTCATGCAGCTGAAAGCGCCAGGTGGACAGAACATCTGCACCCATCCCTAACTCCTCACAGAAAAAGCTCAATACACGTTCACCCTCTTCCGCTGTTGTTGGTTCATGCGGAAACGGGGATACACTCAATGGGTTGGATTTTGTTAACGCGGTGGAGAGGGAACCCCCCAACCCCGCCTGTTGTTCATAAATATGCGCTAATGCAGAAAGGCTGCAATTTATGTGTCTTAGCAGCAGTGATGGACCCTTCCTCGATGCACCCATGCTAATCTTTTACATAACTATGGGGTGAAGCTGGTTTGCCAAAGTTTTTGCTTCGTTCGAAAAAAGTCAATATATTAAATTTAATCAGTTTAGACAAATTCATCTGTCCATTAGAGGAGTAAAAAAGGTGGGGAAAAGAGGGTGGACGTGAAACACGAAAATACAAACAACTACAGAAGTCATCTGTGTCCAAATTAATGGACAAAAAAATATTCAAGTAAGTTCGAATATTAATATTATGGTAAGTAATATTATTAAAATAATAACTATAATCGTTTAAGGTGTGTAGCAAAGAATTTTACTACTGACATTTTTCAAATAGTAATTGATAATAAAAGAATACTTTCAAGTATTTATGCTTATGAAGCAAGATCATAGTTAAAAATTCATATCGCATACTGATTATTTTAGTTTCGTTCTTTAGCAGAGTAAAATTAACTCATATTTCTTATTCACTAGATTATTAATCTTTTCCTAGTAGCTACGACCAAATAATGCCCATTTCTTAGCAGAAGCTTCACATCCCTTACATATACACTTGAAACTTTCGGCAGAGTCAGGCTGCTCGCACGGGATGCACAAAATCTTTGCACCCATGCTAGGAGCCCTGGAATCCTCGCGAACATCATCCTGCGCCAATAACCGTTTGGACTCCTCAGCACTGTCCTTTTTCACGCTATCTTCACAGTCTTCAGAACCACACCAGGGGGCTAGAATGATGCACTTTTTGTTGAGAATCGGCACGAATTCGCTCCAGTCTGTGATCTTAAATAAGTGATCATCGCGAACCTGGATGGCACGCGCAAGCATGGAGTCGTGAATCTCATTCATCAGATCCTTCATATTCGAGCCTAGCTCATTATCCCAGGCCATCTTTCGCTTTTCACCATTGAAACGTAAAGCCAGTGATAATACATTGTCAGCCAGCTCCTTCGGTCCAAATTCGATGCGCACAGGGACGCCCTTCAGCTCCCAGTGGTTAAACCGCCAACCAGGGCTGTAATTATCACGTAAATCCACCTTTGCCCGAATGGAAGAGCGTTTGAGCTGCTCCTCCAATTTCTTGCTGCCCCCCAAAATCTGCTCCTTTTCCTCCTTCGTAGTGTCTTTGGTAATGCCAACGGGAATGATAATTGTCTGCACAGAGGACACATGCGGCGGCATGACCAGCCCACGGTTATCAGAATGCACCATCACCATCACACCGATGGAGCGAGTTGTGAATCCCCAGCTGTTCTGCCAGGGAACCAATGGTTCTCCTTCGGTGTTGTTGGGGTCTTGGAAGCGGATATCAAATATTTTCCCAAAGTTCTGACCCAAGTGATGACTGGTCCCACCCTGACAGCCACGGCCGACCCCCTCAATGAAAGTCTCCACGGTGGTAGTGTAGAAGGCACCTGCAAATTTCTCCTTTTCGGTTTTCATGCCCTTTATAACAGGTATCGCCATGAGGTCGGTGTACACCGCGCCGTAGTTGTCCAGCATCATCCACACCTCGCGCGCACACTCCTCCTCAGTGGCCCACGCGCAGTGCCCCTCCTGCCATAAAAACTCTCGGGTTCGAATGAATGGGGTGGGGTGGGAAAATTCCCAGCGAATGACATTATTCCACATGTTGAGTCGTAGGGGCAAATCGCGATGGCTTCGGATCCACTTCGCATAGTGGGAATACATAATCGTCTCGCTGGTTGGGCGAATGGCTATAGGCATTTCCAGGTCCGTATCCCCTGCCTTGGTGACCCACGCCACCTCTGGAGCAAACCCTTCGAGATGATCCTTCTCACGCTCCAGGGATGATTTCGATACGAACATGGGAAAGTAGCAATCCTCCACACCCATATTCTCAATCAGAGAACCCAGGAAACGCTGAACGGACTTCCAAACAAAATAGGACCACGGGCGCATAATATAACAGCCGGATACATCGTAGTACTCGATCATCTCGCCTTTGCTGATCACTTCGATATACCATGCGGAGAAGTTCTCTTCGCGAGTGATGCTGATCCCAAGCTGCGTATCCCCCGCCTGCGGCTGCGGAGGAGGCGTAGGGTACTTATCGGGAATAGATTTCTCCACAACAGGGCTCTTCTCATCCGGGACATCGTTCCGGTTGAGACTGGCCACCCTAAAAGGATAGTCGATTTTATTCAAAAATGCCTTCAGCTGGTCGGGCATCACCAAAGTGCTTTTATCATTCCGACAAGGATGTAGAACAAAGGGGGTCTTGCTTTCCATCATAGTTTTGTCCAGAAGCACGATAATATTTTTCTTTTCCAAATTATTCACAAGCGCAAAGGGCGTCACAGAGCCTTGCAAGACAGCCAAGTTCTCCTTCAATACCTCAGGTGGGGCAAAGCGCAGCTCTTTGGTTCCCGTTAATGTCTGTATTTGCTTGAAATTAATAGTGCTCTTGTCCAATGCTGTGGCCAGGACTAATTCCCCTTTCTTGCCCTTCAAAAAAACGTTCTTCGTACCATTGCAGGGAACGCCAAAACGTGGTAGCTCCAGGTTCGCCGACTCCACGGTTTTCTTCTCTTCATGCTCTATGGTGGGGAGTTCAAAACCCAAGTTCTGAAACACAGAAAGCAGCTCTTTTTCTCCTTTGTACACCGAAGATGACATGGATGGTGAAGGTACTGAAGGTGAGTGTAAATTCAAATTATTTTGGAATAGTTCCGAGTTGTGCTTGCAATGACTACCTACGCAGATGTCTGAAAAATTCGTAGTCCTAGACAACAATCCACCATCACGTAAAAATAGCATCGGGATAAAAAGAAAAAATACAGAACTCAGTAGATTAAAAAAAAGTGAACTGACTACATTGCAGTCAGCGTTCGTTAACATAGATAGGGTTTCATTCTGGAAAAAGGGCTTAGACAGGAAATGTGGAAGCTTCATGCTTTTCACGGCGAATCGAATGACAGAAAGTAGGTAAAAATATGAACTACTACGACCGCACCGACGGAATTGACCAGACTCCGCGTAATTCATTATGGACTCGCTGGGACTGAAGACAAGGTGTACCGATGTATTTACAGTCATTTGCATCAGTGTAGAGAGTAAACATTGTAATACACATAATTCTTGCATCCTTACCTTCAGCCAAGCTACTTCTATACCAAGTTTAGATGGGAAAAGGATAAATAGTCCCGTTGCAGAACGCAGAACTGCAGAAGGCAACCTTTTTTGGTGCGCCAGACGCTTCAAAAATATTGTACGACATCTATGAAAAGTATTTTTCATGGTTCCCCTTGGTTAATAATTATTTTAGTTTCAACCTTCCGTTTTCCCCCTTAAGAAATTTGTAACCAAATTAAAGCCAAAGGAATAATGAAGCCGCGGTGTTAAATTGTTACCAATTATTTCCTGTCGTTCATTCCACCCTAATTGCCATCCACACTGCCTTCTGATCGTTTCGTCCACCAATACTACCCCGAGGTATGTTTATGATACAAAAAATATCTCTTATCTTCCATTCAATACTTATTACGAAAACAAATGGATCAACAAAAAAAAATGAAGAGAATATAAAAACTTATTTGACTATATGAGAAGCACAATTGATATGAAAGAGGAGTGAACAATGCAATGTCAAAATTTCCTTATACATATGTACCTATTCAGAAGGAATGAAGCCGTGAAAACAAGGAGGAAGTAGAGGTCTAGGAATAGAAAAGATTGCAACTGCGATGGAATGAGGGTAAATATTTCACTCCTACCGAAAAAAAAAGGTAAAAAGGATGTGAATACCCTCTGTTACTTATACGCTTTATGGTCTAACTAGATATGCACTCGTTTTTGATTCAGTTTTATCGTTTCATGCAAAATTTCGTATTTGGATTCATAAGCTGCAGGTCCTCTAGCTTACGCTTCCCGGTATTGATACACCACTCGATCTTCGCAACGTGTTTTCGTGACACATCCACGTTTTTGTCAAACTCGCTTCGAATGTAAGTCTGTAAGTTCGATCGCGTATCAGCGTCATGCATACGAAACGCCTCCTTCAGCATGCGACGATATAAGTTCAGTATTTGAAGCTGAACGCCACTATGTCGAGGTCGCATTTTACTCGAAACGATACCTTTAGATACACCTACGGCAGCATTCCTTCCCCATGGTGGCACCTTTTGGCGAGCCTGCCACTTGAGGGCTCGAAACTGCTCCAGCGAAGTGATGATATCCGGCTTCCGAAGCATGGGCACCCTGTCGGACGATGCAGGCGTTGAACTGTGTGTACTAGAAAAACTACCCGTCGGGGGAACAGCCTCCTTCAATTTTGGTATAGGGTGCGCATCCAGACCAGGTGAACTTTCATGAACATCTTCAGTAGGGTGCACTTCACGTGCGACTTCGTCTTCCTTGTCCAAACCCGTCCCTTTCTCTTCTCCTTCCTTCTCACGCAATTGGGCCGCTCGTGGGCTCATCACGCCCAACTCACCCACGTGGTTGGTGACCTCCCGCGTATTACGCCATTCCGAATACCACACCGCCCCCCCCAACCCTAACCCCGCGGACGATGACAAACTTTGCGAGCCCTCCAAGCCCGTGGCCTCCCCGCCCTGCTGATTTACTTTTCCTTTCCGAACGGCCTCGTGGTAGACTTTGGATAAGATGTCGGAAGGAAAATTCGGCAACGACCCGGGACGTTTCACGCGGCTGCCATCCTTACTATAAGAATGCTGAAGCAGAAATCGAACTTGCTTCATACATTAATTGAAAAGATAAATAATAATAATAATACCTTGAGGAGATGGATGTATATCGAAGATTTATATACACATATTCAAAGTGGTCGATTCATGGGGCACACTCCTTTGATCAGTATTTTTCTACTCCGCTTATTACACACCCTTGCCATAAGCACTCAAAAGATAATGAAGTCAGAATCGAACTCTATTCGAATCCAAAATTAATATGCATGAATGATGCGCTCGAAGGGGGGAGAGGGGGTGAGTTATTTAGTGTAAATTGGAATCATTTGTTTGACCTCCATCACTATAGCTAACAAATAGTGTAAAGGTAAAATACAGACATGTATACAATATGAGTCTCCATATGTGCACATGTTTTCTGTTAGGCAAAGTAAGAAATTAATCCAAGCCATCATATTCGTCTTCTTCATTTTGAACCTCCACAGAATCAACTCCGCTACGCTCCACTGCAAAGTCTTGAAGCCAAGCTTGCATACCTTCCTCAAGTGCGGCCTCTGCGTTGACGACCTGAATGTCGTCTGCAAGAAATTTAACAGGCTTCGTGCATTTTCCTATTTCACTGAAGAATGAGAAGTGTTGTATTTCTTCCATCGCACTCACAAACCGCATCACAACCCTCACACCTGGAGGTGCTTCGCCCCGCACGACATCGTGGTTTAGAACATCACTCGAAGACTCTAGGAAAGACTGCAGCTCCTGCTCAAACACCTCCGCTGCCCTCATGGACTGCCCACTTTCATCGTAAAGACGCAACGGATGGTGACTAATCGCCCATGCGCTCCAGGGCAACAAAAAGTAAAATGTTTCCCCCGCTTCCTCAGGGGATGTTGATAATTCCCTCAATGCCCGCATGGCACACCGCACCGCAGCAGGCGTCCCTACCCAAAACCACGTTGAAACTTTGCCCGTCTGCAAAAGACTCGTCTCGGCGACAACCTCGCGCAATTTCTCAGCCAACTCCCAACTCGTTAACTTATCGGAGTTTAAATCGTAGACCAAATGGGGAAAACGAAACTGCGGGAGGTGCGGTGGGGCTCTGACTTCACCCGTCGCGTCGGGCCCTCGGGTGGGGTTGACTACGTCGAATGAAGTTACCGAAGAGGGATCGGGTGGGGCGGTGAAATTTTGATGTGGGAATAACGCCTTTAGAGAACGAAACGCGGTGTAAATGGGATCATGGCTAAGGTCAAGATCGTACTGTAGGCCGTAGGCGGTACTTCCATTACCATTGCGCAAAAAATAGCGCTGCAAGGTAAGATAAACAAGCAATAGAAGACGAGACAACATTGGGCTAGACGTCATATCACTTGATTGGGAAACGTTCTTAACTACAGTTGTCGGGGATCGAAGTACATCAGCCGCTGAGATCAAATTTCCATTTTCTGTTTCAGCATCATAGTGTTTCCAGACACAGAAAAAGGCCTGCACAACGTCCAATAGAACATGCTCGTCGATGCAGCGGTCATGACATTTTTTTTTAACATTCTTATCATGACACGCATTCCCTTTTTCAATAGCGGAGATACGCCCAGAACTATTGAAATTGATCCTATTGGTCTCACCGCTATTGTGAAAAAGCAAGATATGTAAACACACAAGACGAATACCTTCGATCACAGCATGCAGCGGCTGCTGTAGTGGGTTGCGCAGGATGTGCAAAGCAGTCTTCCAAGCCGCAGCACCGCCTATATTGTTGTACACAGACTCCATAGACTCGCAGAAGGATGACAACTCGTGCTCCCATGATTCATTAATATTCACAACCGTAGAAAGATAGGCTTGATCCGCTGTTCGAATTCCAGGCGCTAATAACTTCAAAGTCAGTGATACGAAAGTCTTGGTGCGTCGCGCATTCATTTCTTTCCTGAGCGTCTGTGAAGCAGAAATCAAGCCGTGACATATTAACTGAAGGGTTGTGAAACTCAAATGTTGGGGCTCGAATTTTTTACACACAGTATAATAACGCCACAGGGAGGGCTCAAGAATACGAAAAGCTGTGTTACGTAACACTTCGGCGAATCTCTTGCTGTGTTCCTGAGGATTATTCCCAGAAAATAGCACTCCAGTCGAAGTATCACTCTCAGGTGGTAACGAGTAAGAAGCACCACCTGCATTCACAGCGGCCCCCTCGGGTCCTTCTAAAATAAGACTACATCGTTTCTCTTCCATTACCACGCGCACCAATGCACGGCATGCACCACACATTCGTCGAAGAATAGCCTCCTGCTTAGCTACAGGGACGTCAGGAAACCACTCCTCTATGTTGTCTTTCTTTTCTTCAGTTGAATGATCGATACCTGGTGTTTTGCTGCATTCGGTGGTGCATCGCTGCGGTGGTTGCTCTCGACGGAGACTCTTTCGGGCGTGATTCAGAAGTAGCTCGCAAATTTCCTTAAGAGCATGCACGCGTTGCTTCTCTGGAAGCAAAGTGAACGAATCGGATGTGATGTGACCCAATTCCGTGTACTCTAACCATCTTTTGTTATCACTGTGAGCATCCACATCGGATGCATTAGCACTTTGATAAGAGGAATGAAAGTTTCGATGCGCAGCGGCGGCGCAACCGCTTTTATTCCGCGATCGCGCAAAACACTCCAACACCGCAGTCAACACATTCACTACCCCAACAAAACTTAGCCTTAGGGCTTGTTGGGGTTGGGGTCTATCGGAATTGAGCCCCATCCTGTTACAATAAGGTGTCAAGTGTGGGGCCTGTTCCGTGTAAGTGGCGACCAGATAATCGTGTAACGGGTTGACCCAACGGAGGGGCATGTCACCTTCGGCCTCAGTCATGTTGGGGAGCCTAGTGGATGCGTGGGCAGTGTAACTAAAAGGGTCGTGGCCATGGATATCACGCGAAACGCGGCTGGAAACTCCTACGGTGGAGTTTCTCATGTGCGGACCCACCAGGTTAGTGCCAAAGGGCACAACGGGTTCAATTAAACGCACGATGTGACAGGTGGCAGGCCCATCCTCACAAGAATCCTCGCTACCCCGTGCAGTAATGATAGAAGGGGATTTAGTAGGCTCCGCTACGACAGAAGACAAGCGTAGCAAGAGCTTACGTAACGTATCGTCGTCATGGATAGGAATTTGGAAAGTCATTAAACCGTTGTCAAGGCGCTGCTTACTAGATGTAAATAGATTAGAGCACGAATTTTGCACCCTTGCATCTTCCTTTGCACTCCGCCCTTGTAGCAATTCCTCTTTTTCTTCAACAAAAAACGTATCATTAGTCATATTCCTGACACTGGAACGACACGATTCATAGAAAGAAGATACCAAGACGGCAGCCCTATACAAGGAATCTGCTACGAGTGGTAATGCAAGAAGAGGTGACGTGCCTTGCCAAAAAAGAACATTTACAAGCAATGAATCCCGTAATGTGATTGATGGCAATGTGAATTCATGCTCATCACAAGAAATAGTACATGCAAAGGAAAAAATCTCTTGTTTTGATAACATGGGCTGAGACTCTTGAGAACACGTCTTTGACATTTGCGAACCCTCACGATTTAGCGCCGTATTTTCCCCTTCTGTAAAGTGTTGCTCAACGCCATTTTTGAGGTTTGCCGGGGAAGATGCTGACAAAAAAAGAGCAAACAGCTGCACTAATGCCTTGCGTACCCGATTTTCTGTACTAACCCTTACATTGCCTTTTATTTTCGGTAAGTTGTTATCACTATTTCTGTCGCTGTGAGAAGGACAAACTTCGTGCAGCTCGATTTCTCTTACTTTTTCTACAAAATAAGGCAGTAAAAAGGTAATGGGTGGTGGCTTGGTGTCTACGCGTGAGTCATCCGCTCGGCCTTCATCCAATTGTCGAAACTTAACTTTCCAAGAGTTATAAAAGCTCGCTAACCGCGGCATCCATGAATCAGTCGGAAGACGCGAGGAAGAGGGCAGTGTGCACCACCACTCGAGGGCGATGTCTAACACTGGGGCGACCTGCGGGTGGGACTTCGAATTTCTCGACGGATCCCCGATCAAAGCCTCTAACGGTGTGAGGACATTATCGGCAATATTGCGGAGCTGTAAAGGAGAAGTTAAAAGAGAAAGATGAACATGCCGGGAAAGCCAACCCCCGGCGCGCAGCGCATCCTCGGAAAACAAGGATGAATCAGAATAATGAGATGGACGGCCGATACTCGACGTTGCGGACGACGTGGTTTGGTCGGACAAATTCAAAAGATCGCCTTCCACAGCAGCCGGCTTTCGATAGACGGCGTAGCCGAGCCTCTCCAACACGCGCAAACACAGTAATGGATGCAATGCCGATGTCGGAGATGTGCAGGGTGTGACGGCCAACCACATCAACAAATCTTCCTCTGCGGCCTGGCCTTCTCGGATTAACATCTCACGTCGTCGATTTCCTACTGAGTAGTGAAAACAATCGCGATACCGCTCAGAGTTTGACACCTTTGGGAATTTCAAAAGTAACTCACGCACTCGAGTTGAAAATGGACTGAGGAATGGTGAGGAGGAACCCGGCACCTCTGTAGATCCTTCCCGCTTGACCCCGTTTTGGGTTCTATGATTTAAATGAAGACATGGAAATAAAACGCGGCGCAGACCTCCATAACGGCAAACTGTTTTACTTGGGGATGAACATGTGTTGAAGTAAGACAAACCAACGGAATGATTGGGGAAAGACGTCCTTTGAAGGTAGTTTCGTACACTAGTTTCCAGTCGATGCATACATTAGAGCGCTATACAAACACTACACTTATAGGTGAATAGAAGGGATGAAGGTTTACCATATAGTTGGTTGCAGCAAAAGATCATGAAATAAAGCAAAGGTCCATTATCGAATCAAAATCACACTGTCAGAATCACTCGTTTTCCTCAAGTAGTTTGGATAAACTTTGTAATAAAATAATGATGCCTACTTGTATGAATTCATAAACTAATCATTACTATGTCAAAGTTGCTGATGCAAACTCAATAGGCATGTCCAGACGCACCTCCGCACAAATACTCGCACAGAAAAGGCAGTACTGGGAAAAAAAATTATCATTCAAAAAACGATCCAATACATCTATTACCCGTATGACAAAAATCTTTTCTTAATGCTTCAAAACGTCAAGCTTACACTAACGGTATGATAAAAAAAAAGAATAATTCTTCAAAAGCAAAAGATGCATAAGGCGTAACTGGCCCTACAAATGGCTGAAAAATGTTTTTAACAACACTCCTTGCTTCTACACCTATGTCTGAATTCCTATGTTATCGATGTACTTGTTCACTTAAATATTTCAAAAAATGGACCTGTGCAACTTATCGAATAGTATCAAACAAGGATAAAGACGTTGTTGTTGAAACCCCATGTGGCTCTGGCATTATTGGTCGAGGGAGGGGACTCTCAGACCCCCGAAGCCTCTGCACTTAGTAGCAACATCGAACGCCATGCACGCATGAAGTAAAAGGACAATAGTGGTAATTCAACGCTTGATCTTCGATAAGATCGCCGAATGAATTCACTTTAAATTTATTCCTCTTTAAACCAGAGACGATACACACAGAGGCGGTTGCTATTGCGGAACCAAAAGGACAGCAACACCCCTAGTCGAAGCCGTTCGCAGCACATATACCAGCAGGTTACCTTCGCGATTCATCAACCCAAGTGCAGTGCTCACTGAACTGTCAACAACGGCAAGTCAAGGATGTGGTACAAAAGAATTATTGTTAGATGTGCATGCGTCATTTTTATCTTCATGATATACCCTGCACCCCCTTCCTCTCCTTAAAAAGAAGATAAGGAAATCGAAAATGGTAAAACCTATGAGGTGATTGGAAAGGCAGCAAACAGATAAAAAATGGATCTGAAGTTGGTTGAGAAGTTCAGTTTGCTAGAAACGGTGCTTGCCTCATTGATGAATGATATAAACTTACCCTCTTGTCTATCAAATCATCTGGTATGTTCTTATTTCTTTCTATTTTTGAAGCCCTTTGAATCAGTATTGAACTCCTTGAGTCTAGAAAACGAATGGCTCTGAGTTTTAAAGTATCGGCAAGTGCTATATTTTACCTTTTTTGAAGTGCGTCGTTTGTGCTAAAGGTGATCGCGTGCATTTAGTTAGCTAATGACTGAGAAGTTCCCTTTGTGGTACGTATTCATCCAATACATCCGAATGGAGTAAATCATGTCAGAATTATTATTATTGCCACCTGAGTTTAAGGTGTGTATTTAGGTACTGAATGAGGGGAGTTAACTAGACAAGCGGCACGTTTTTGTGGTGAGTAGTTTATTGCTGCGACGAGTTTCAACTTTATTTCCATTGAACTGAGATGAGAAGCTACAAGATTCAAACAAATTAGTACTGTGCTTACCTATGTTATCCCATACCCAGAAATCATAGGGTGCAATCCTCAGTGTAAGCAATTGTGATAGCAATGGAGAATTGTTTGCTGCACAAAAGGGTTGCTTGGTACGCAATACAACCACTTCAAACACAACGGGAATGGGGACCGAAACGAGGGATACTAATATCGTTCTCATGAAATGTCGGTTAAGGAATTCCTGATGGAGCTGAAAAAAAAACTATTTCATCAAAACGTTTTGTTTCGATATTGTGCTACGATTAATTAAATCGTCATGTAAAATTTTATTTAAAAAATTGTGTTAGAATGTGTATTTTAAACACTAAGGTCGGTAGATACGGCACTGCTCCGTGGAACACGGACAGTGAACCCATAGACGGCTTGGGAATTTTGTTGATAAAGCAAGATTATTTTTATTTACAACAAGAAAAACTATAGGCGCAACTATCCTCCTTGTTGTATGTGTTCTCAGCACCAACTCTTGTGCAACTGAGACTAAGAAGAAAGATAAACGTATCCAATGCTAATTATGGTATCCTGATAAAGCATTAGTAAAAACGATCCTCATGAAAACTCCAAGGACCGATCTTTTCTGTCGTTTTGAGTTTTAAAACCGTTTCTACAGCATGGTTGACTCCTTTCATAGAGTTGTGAAAACCCTATCTATGCGAGATACTAAGTGGATGGAAGAATAAAAAAGAGTATCAAACTTTTGGATTTCCCGTTTAGTTGATACTATTACATCCGTTCATTCCCATTTTGAATTTTGTCAATGAACAACTTAAAAGAGTACCTTCATTTGTTTTCAGAGATCGTTATGACCTGCGTTGATATGCAATCCGGAAGATTGTTCAAGTAAAAAGAATAAAACAATATTCCCTGTATGTGACCAGTGTGAAAAGCGCAACGCAACCACTTTGTAATATAGCATTGAAACCAATCAATGGTTCAAATTGAAAGGAAGTTAGTTTCCTAACTAATTCGGTTGTTAATGCCTATAGGTGCTATGGTGGGTTCAGGGGATTGTAGAGTGGGCCCTCCCTTTTTCAGCTCCTCTTGCCATTTCTTCCGATGTGACTGCACCTCTAGCTCACGTTGCCGGACTGCCATCATAGACGACCGCCGTCTCCACCACGAAAAGTTCTCGTAAAAGAAGCGATCTTCTAGGTGGAAATCCTCTGTCTGGCCGCCGTTCGACCAAGGTGCCCCGATCGGGGCGTTCGCATAAGGCCAAAACCGCATCCCGGTCTGGTCCATCAAACACGTCCGCCACTCCCACTCCTCGTCTCGGCAGAAAAACACGGCGCGGGTGGGCTCCGTCATGTGACACTTCAGCAGTGTCGCGGACTGTTGCGGACAAAGCCGAAAGGCGGTTTCGGAGGCCTGCATGAACGATGTCACCACATCGACATCCTCGTCAACGCACCGGAAGGGGTTGGCACGCCAGTAATAACAGTCTCTGGCATTAGCGACCTTCTCCTGCAGGGACGGGATGGCCTGGTATAAGGGGGCAAAGGCCCGAAGCACCGGGGCGGGGATGCCATCGCGGAATATCCCCTCCAGGGGTTGCTCGAAGTGTTCCATGGGAAAGAGAGGAGACCAGGGGGGGGGGATTCAGTTCCCGTTGGCTTTGGAAATGACGCCCGTGGACTATAACACGATCGTCAAGAAGGTGGGAAACGAATAGAGGTCTTTTATAATACTATCACTTTCTATGCTACGTGATAGTGAATAAACCTATGCTAAACTATGGTGTCGTTAAGCTGAATAATACAAATCAAGCCTACGAAATGAAATATGCTACCCATCTAAAAGTATAAAGAGGAAATCACAACCATAAACAATACAGGTTCGAAAATAAAATCTATAAAACGCTCATTCGGGGCACTTTTTACTTTTTTTTTTCTAAAGAGGAAAGAATACGCAAAGAAAAATAAGTTCCTTTTGATATAAAAATGAGCAATGTAGTGTTTTATATCTTATCGGCATATTGATTTGAACTACCTGCCTTCACGCTTCGAGTGTAAATAAAACACTGCGTTAACACCATCACTGGTATTATTTTCTTTCGGACAACAATTCAAGCACCTCAACTTCCTTTCAGGATGTTAGAAAAATAAGTTCAACTAATAAAAAGAAAACATTTAGGAGAAACAAATCACAAAATTTTTCATTTGACTATTCGCTGAATAAGTAGTTTAAAAAATAATCATTCAGTTTGTAGTCATATTTTGGGATAGTTCGAGGACCATTTGGCAATGTTAGAATCTTTCAGACAAGCTCAAACTCTCGCACTATACTATCTGATGGTCTTGTATACTTAAAATACAATAGTGCTAAAAGGGAAAGTATTAAGATAAAGGTGTAAATTATAGCACCACTATAGCAAATTTTCGCTTTTTCGAAAGCATCCCATCCAGATTCAGACGATACTAAAGCAAAAGAAATGGCATTATGGTCAAACATAAGCCCAAAGAAAGTCAAATGGATGATGCCAATGATGGAAAAAAATAGCCCAAATATTGCGTAAGCTTCGCCCATTAGTTCCCTTGATTCTTGTTTTGAGAATTAAAATTTTATCTTCCAAGTAAGGATCAATATATAAAATACTTCCTTCTACAGTCTTTCCAAGAAGTCCTTCTATTGATTGGATATAATCCCGCACGCATAAGATGAATTAACAACAATTGGAACCTTTCTTAAACTATGTGCTAATGTGTGTAATCCCTTTCAACTCGCACATTAACACTTTGATAAGAAGTCAATAAAAGTAAAATATTGCTAAAATAGTCAAAACCGCTAAATCGACAATAAATATTAACAAATTACTCCTTATTCTTCAGTAAAAATGTTGCGCAACTAAAATGTTGATACCTCTAACGGTAAAAGTAGACTGTGGATAGAAGAACATGAATCAAAGAGATCACCATACACACTTAGACAGCAAATAATACGCACTCTATCGCATGTGTATATATGAAAAAATTATAAAATCAAGGAATGAAAAAATTAATGGATAATTACTAACCCGCAAAGTGTGCTCATAACTATAGTAATAGAACTCCTCTATTTTCACCTCTAGACCACGACCGTTTGTAGAAATTTTGAAACCCATGCGCTATGATAGTCTACCACTTATCCTCTCTTTTACGTCATTCAGACAACTTTTGTGTGTGAATGACTACAAATCTTTTTGGAATCCTGAGAAAGTATATATTTAAAAAACTGTTTTTCTGGTGAAAAGTGCAAGCGAAAAACAATTGGTGACTATTGCATGATAATGTAGCAAAATTTTTCAAATAGAAAAAATGCAAAGAAGAGATTTCATAATAAAATAAGTAAAAGGGAATTAATATTTCCTCTAAAATTCCTTGGAGACTGATTGTATGTTACAGACTATTTTTGCTGGAATTTTCAGTTCATCTCAACTTCTTAATGAATAAATAAATACATAAAGCATCATAGTAGAAATGGTAACTAAAAAATATATGTAACGAGTAAAGAGGATCTTCTACGCTAAATAAATTTTATAATTTCTTTTCAATCACCTTCTAGTAGTATGCACTACTTGGATCATTCCAACGCGTCACTTAACCTTCCTTCTTCTGCATAACAGTTCCGTTACAGGAAGTATACTCAAACAGATCGGATTTTTGAATGGAAAAATTGGCTTTAGGGTAAAAAAAATGCTACAATATATTATGCTTTTGATTGCATATCACACTAAATTTTAAAAGAAGGTGTCCCTCTTCCGCTCTTATCTATTTAGAGTTCCCATTTGTGAAGGAAGGCATATGCAGCAAAGTCGAAATAGGGGCACGGCACACTGGACAGACTGGCTTATGCTTGAGGAGTTGCTCCCCGCAGTCTTTACACATGCACATATGTCGACAAGGCATCACCGCGGTGTCCTTGGGGTTCATTAAGCAAATCACACAAAGACCTTCTTCTTCCTCCTCTCCCTCGTGCGGGACGATGGTTGAGCCCACCATCAGCTCTGTACCCTCACCTGTTGTATTCTCATGACCCGCCCCGTAAAGGTTCTCCACGACATATGCACTACCACCAGTCGTAACTATTTGACTAATCACACGTCGCTTGGGTCGCTCAGCCAAATCTACTGCAGTGTGCTCAGTATACTCGACAACAACCTCCCCAACGTCTACTGTATCGCTCTTATCGTTATTATTATCCCCGTCGATCTCAGTATTGTTATCAGCTCGCTCCTTTTTACGAAGCTCGGTCGTTCGATAACGTAGTACTATCACACAGGGCATTTGCTTCGGATAATGCTTGTTAAAGACCTTTTCCTTTTCTTCTAGCTTACTGATATCTAGTTTAACGGCAATCTTACGATTTTCCTGCGAGCCTTCAATTAAAATGCGCGTAGGCTCCATTTTAGGCTTATTCGGCATGTAAAACACATCGCCACCTTTAACAAATTCCTTGACCCCGGTGTGAATCTCATACGTTAGCTTTGGTGCGACAGTGGTGATATAAAAGGTCAATAGCTGAATTGACGAATTGTAACAGACGGTTGAGGCCTCAATAGTGGCTAACATCTTCACCATTTGACCCTCTTGAACTCCTCTACTATTGTTGGGACACTCCAGTGGGTTCGGCGGCTGTGATGGCGGTGACTCGGATTGCGGGGGGGGGTAGGAGGAGGGGGTTGGACCGGGGGCGTGGTCGCGTTGCTGTCCCTTGGGGTAGTGGTGGAGTTTCGATTTCCACGAGAGTTGCTGCTATACTGACTTGCTAAATGAGGGGGCATGTTCACCGGCGCAATGGGAGCGCGTTGCGTAGAACTGACATTGAGGCTGTTGAGGGTTGATCCATGCGGCGAATGTTGCCTCCCACGCTGTGCGGATTCAGGCGAAGATCGAGAATGCTTATTTCCCATAAGTCTTTCCAGTTACCTGAAAAAAAAAAGGAAGACACTGGAGAAACCTATATACTAACAAGGGCTGAAAAGCACTCGGAAATATTTTGGATGAAAAAAATAAACCTATTTAACGCAAGCGTAAAAAGCCAGCGATAACCCTGAGCTCTGGAATTTTTTTTCCCGAAAACCAAATAAGTGCTCAAAATATATACTTTAAAAAAAAAAGTGTAAAGAATTAAATAGAGTGCCACATAAATTCTCATACGCACTGTAATTACTGAAAAATGGCTAATGACTTCGACGTTCATCTATTTGGAAAATTTGGCACTGTATTTTTCTATTCAACATGTACCCTCGCCCCTTCCTTTTTCCTTGTCTACTGGTCTAAAACTTGGTAAATACTTATAACCTCCTCCAAGAACATGTTAATTTATATAAGGAATGAAGCAAAATCAATGTGCAGAAGATAAGCAAAGCGAACTCATGGAATGTAATCAATTACAAAACATTTTACTCACCTCCCCTCACAGTCTCTATCTTTTCACTCGAGGAATATGATTCTTAGCCTAATCTTGGCAAAATATTGGTTTTCAATGATATCCGTAATGGCGTACAGCTTGGCCACCCTTTCGGATCACTGATGTCCCCTCATCTGCTCCAAGTCCCCGGCGGGCATTACGCGTCGTTGTGGACTGCTGTCGGGATTGTTGTTGCTGATACACAGTGTTTGCGATCTGATTTTTGACAAAACGAATTTCTTCCTCTAAAGCTTTAAGACGCTCATGTTGATGATGGTCGAAAGGTTCTACGACAGCGGAGGAAACGAGAGGAGAACTGACTTGTTCCTCAATATCTTTGTCGGGAATCAAGCCAACACCACTACCGTGCTCTTTAGTTTCGGGGGCTGAATGTGTCATTTTTACATTACGTAAGTTTTCCTCCCTAAACTTCCCTGGTTGAACACGAGACCTGACTAAAAAAGATCCACTTTGCTTCTTCTCCTGCGGCCTATTCGACAATGTGCAAGCAGCTGCGGAAGGCTGGTCCGACAAAGATGTCATCACATCCTGTCGCTTGGATGAATTTACAGGCAGCTGTGAGTTCGTTGGTGAAAACATCGCACCATTAGCGGCGAGATTAACTTCGTAGGCAGTCCGGTATGCCTCTCTCAGTTGTGCCTTAAGCAAGGAATTGAGATCAAGCAAAGACTGCTTTTCACCAGATAATGCCACAACATCCTGTTTAGTAAGCTGAAGCTCCTGAGACAAGCGGTCGCGCTCAAGGAGCACCTTACGCAAATGCTGTTCAAGTTGGTAGTATTTCTGCCTCCACACTTCCGCTTCCTTAAGCAGTACTTCACCAGATCCCAAACAATCGAGATTTCTCGCGTTCGCTGGTGATCGAAACAGTGACGATGAAGAAACAACAAAATTGTTAGCATTATCGCTGTTTCTATCACCCCTTTTAGGAGATTTTTGTTTTACCATAGAACGCGAATTTTCTTTTTCTGATCTGTTGGACTGACTGGTGTCGCTAGAATTGTTAGCGCTGCTTCGGCTTCTAGAAGATGCACCAAGGTGACTCTTATGACGTCGACTACATCCGTTATGTTTACGGACGCGATCCCTACTATCTAATCGCGTGCGCTGATTGGCCCATTCACGCTGATACTGCATCAACAATCCAGAGAAGCCGTTGTCAAGTGCCTCAGGGTTGTCCGTAGCGTCTTCTCCGTTAGAAAGCAAAATCTGTGCGCGCAGGACATCCACTTGGTAACGAGCTAGCTCCTCTTCCTTTTCTTTAAGCACGTTCTGCAGCTTTTGGTTGAGACTGTTGGACTCTAGCAAATCCTGCTGTAGCTGGTCTACCCGGCGGTGCATCTCTCTGGCCGACTTTACCACCGGGTCATTCTGAAGCTCCAAGGTGAAATTAGCTACCTGCTCGCGTATCTCTGAATTGGTACGCTCTAAATCTAAAATGCGTTTTCCAAGAATCTCCTTTTCGTAGGACAACGAATTGATGAGTGTTTCCTGAGAATTATGGTCCTGAAAGCGATGAAACTGATCCTCAAGAGCGTGTCGTGCAGCCTCGCTTGCATGTAGCTCCCGTGCTAATCGTGCCAGTTCCTCCTGACTTCGCTCCTGTATGTTCAACGCGTTGCGTTTACTGACCTCTGCCTCATCCCGAGCTACCTGCAACCCCAGCTCCAAGTTTAGCAACTTTTCCTGGAGCCCTGCCACTTCTTGGCGGTCTCTAGTAGCAGTAATAGATTCAGCGGCTTTCCAACGCTCTACTTGATCCGATAATCTAACCAACTCCTGTTGATTCTCGGCAAGTTCCCTCTCCTTCTCAGTCAACTTTTGTTGCATAACTCGCTGAAAACGTTCAAATTCTTCCTTATCCCGCACAAAGTGACCCAGTTCATCTTCTTTGGATGTCAAAGCAGCGTGTAGTCGCTGCTCCGCCTCACGCCATCCTTCCCGAATGACCTCCATTTCTCTCTGAGCGTTCTGGTAGTTTAACTGAAGTTCGTGACGTTCGGATGAATAGCGCAAAACCTCCTCCTCTCTTTGAGAAAGTAACTGCTGAATGTGCTCATGAACCTCGGTCAGTTTGGTTTGCAGATTGGTCTTTTCTAGCTCCAGGCGGCTGTTTTTCTGTACTTCATCGCGGATAGTGTTTTCGGCCGAGGTCAACCCTTTGTTTAGCTGCAGGTTTAACTGCGCAATCTGGCTTTCCAGACTGCGGTTAGTCTGCAAGACCTCGTCCATCGCTGCACCCTGGCGCTGCGCCTGCAGATCAAGCTGTTTTCTAAGAAGCGCAGCCTCCCCCTCCGCACGTCGGGTGCGATTGGTCCACTCATCACCTGCTTCTGTAGCGGACTGCAGTTTTTTCCGAACTCCTTCAAGCTCTGCCTGAAGACGTTCCATGGCCTGTTGGTGGCGTTGCGTACACTCTGAGGTCACATTGGCCGTGTAGCCCTCCATCTCACGACGGCTTTCTTCGATTTCCTGCATCTGCAGCATATAATGCGCGTGAACCCGCTGGCGCTCCTCTTCGAGTGCAGCCTCCTTCTCTTTGAAGACACTCTGAACGTGCTGCTCCTTCACAAAATACTCTTTTTGAAGCCGCCGCAGGGTGGACTCCCGGTCGTCCTCCACGTCCCGCACCCACTGCTTCATGCGGGATAGTTCCTTCTCCGAGGCCCGCAGCTTCTGCTCGAACACCGTGGCCTCGACGGTGACCCGCTTTAACTCCTGATACAGACGCTGGAGCTGCTGGGAACTCTCCTCCAGGGACTCGTCCCGTTCCACGATTAAGCCGTAGTTGTACTGGTAATCTTCCTCGAGGGTCCGCAATTGGGTGTGGAGATGTAACAGGGCCTCCTCCCGCACGGCGAGGGTCCGCTCCAGGGACTGAATTCGATTCCCCACGGCGTGACGCAGCTCGTTCTGTTTGAGCTCAATCTCGGCGTAGTCAAGGGTAGACAAGGGAGCTTCAGAGGGTGTAGAGGGGATGGGTGCCTTTGGAGGACGACCCACTGCCGGGGTGGGGAATGTCAACCCCGGGAAGGACGTTCGATGAGGTGGTGAGAGGGTCGCGGTCGTCCCGCTGGTCTCAACACGATTGCGGTTCTCCTCCACACCTGTTACACGAACACCACTCGACGAAGCCCCAGAAGCCCTTGCTTGAGTGTCGTTGTCAACACCCGCACTGTCGTCTAAGAAAGAATCTTTAGTTCGGCCGAGATTCGGCTCTAGACCAGACGCGTCACTATTCCTACGAGTAGTGAAATTGGTACCCAACAAAGAAATAGGTTGATTCCTGCCATTTACTGTTGTGGTGGAACTAATTCCATCACTTGCTTCATAGTATGGTTGTTGATGGATTGGATTCATTAGGCCGCTAAATATCAGTAGAAATAATTTGGTAACTAAGAGATGTAAATTCAACAAATTTTTCCAAAGGTGTGAGGAAAAAAAGTCTATCCGGCCCTTTGTGTGGGAAAAATCTACAATGATCTAATCCAATCAAGAAAGCATTGTTAAAGAAAATGATATCACTTTGCCACACCTCAGGACCATCAAGTGCATTGAAATATAAACAAAAACAACAGAAAAAAAACGTGAATCTTGAAAAAGAGTAATTCTTTAATGGAAAATCGTACGCACGATAAGAAATACTAAAAAAAAATGAGCGCAATTCGAAATATTAGCAAGAAAATTCGCCTATAGCAATCTTTTAAGACGACAACAAAGAAATATTTCATTTAATTGCACTGAAAATATAATGTTTACTATTACATTGAGAACCTCAGCATTTTTTATTCTAAGCACAGGCATATATGTTTGTGTAAATTTCGATGTCTGGGCCCACACCACCCCCTCTTAATGTATTGAAAAGTAGAATGACATGTCATACAAACTTTGAATAAAAAAGCAACGAGTATCAACTTGAAAAAAAACTTTCTGAAACAATAACAATAAAACCTACATAGGTGTAATGTTAACTCCCGAGAAGATTTCTACAACCTCAAATAAGCTATTCATGTTCATAAAAATCTCTGGTCTATTGCACTGCAAATGTAAACACAGTAAAACAAGGGTAGTATCTCTCTATATACCCTTCCTCCTTTTTGAATTAATCACTTTCAATTAAAACAGCAAGTTGAGGCGATGGGTTTGGAATTCTGTTGATCCAATCCGAGGTTCCTGGCCCTATTTGATGTGCTGATACCACTATTCAAGTTTCTCTGGCCCTTCGTCAACCCATTATCCAGTAGTTTCACTGCGAAATCCTGGAAGACCTGCTGAACATTACTGTTGTCCTTCGCAGAGATCTCATAGAAACCGGCGACTTCTTCTTTAATCCCAAGTGAGTGCCCATCCTCGTAAGACACCTGCCGCATCGACTCCAAATCCGTCTTGTTCCCAATCAAAAAAATAAGAAGGCTAGGACTTGCTCGGGCGCGCAGTTCCTTGATCCATCCTTGAGCCTTTCCAAAGCTTTCACTGCTAGTGATATCATAAACCACAAGTGCACCTGAAGAATCACGGTAGTATATAGGAGCAAGGGATCGATAGCGTTCCTGACCTGCGGTATCCCACATTTGAAGATGAAGAAAACGACTTTGTTCAGGCGCATTTGCAGCCGCAGTGACGGGTGCTCCTCTCAACTGTCCGGTTTCTCGCGAGGGGACTTCAATATGTCGTGAAAAATAACACGCACCGATGGTGGAATCTTGATCGGGAAGAAATTCATTTCGCGCAAAGCGCAGTGCTATGGAACTCTTTCCAACCGCGGACTCACCCAGGAGGACAATTTTGCTTGATGGGGCATCGGAAGCACGGATCCCTACAGCAGTCATTTTTTTAACTAAGACAGGTGTGGTTGCTTTTGGTTAGTCCTATGTTAAATTAAAAAAAATGTTTATACTTTACGTTAGGTGGTACCGTGTTATGGAAATCACTAGAGAGGGGAAGAACCTCGTAACTATCAGGGGTGTTTTTTTCTTTAAATGAAATTTAGGGGAATAGATGAACAATTAGGCCATGAAATACTCTTAAATGCGTACAGGTATAGGAAATCTGTTTTTCATAGAGAAGGCAAATCAATGTTAGCAAGGACGAATATACTTTTTACACTACAAAAGCGCAAATATATTTTGACACTAAAATAGATTTAAAAACTAGACACTAAATAATAACATGTCAATAGCCGCCCGTATAAATTCCAAATAATGCTAACCCATTTAACTATGTACGTTCCAATGATAATAGAAATAAGTGGAAAACTAACAGATGCCATAGAGACAATTCCCTTTGTTACCAGTATCCTCAAAAAAGATTACAACAACCATCTGAAAAACCTCCATGTATGACTTTATTTAAATACAAATTCTTGATGAGTTCCTCTGGTAGAGTTGAAAAATGAGAAATCACGACCAAAGTAGAAGTCTTGCTAGATGATATAGATGTTGATAAGATTGTCTCTTCCTTCTGTGAAATAGAAGATAACGATGGAGAATCCACCAATATAGTCTTGCATATTTTTGTAGATAGGGGTAATGACGGATACATCGGGCAAACAACTCCCTTTGGCACTGGAATCTTCATAGCGTGTACATGCCACGGTTCCTTCGACTTGGATTTGATTACATTACTATGTTTTTTTGAAGCTTCCGTGATAGCCAAGTCGAGTACTTTTCCCAAAACTGCATTCTTTGAGATAGATACATAAAATGGTGGGATACCGACCACCTGAATGGACGTCTCCTCCCTACTAGTATTGAATTCATCTAAGGGAATTAAAAACAGAATAAGTAACGTTGCGTTGTTGGCGTTGGTCGCCGCAGCCTTCACAGAGGTGGGGGAAAGAGGCTTCGCCCTCATGCAGAGGAGCTTTGCAATCGTCGTGGCCCCCCCCTCGGACGTTCCTGGTGATTCACTCACGGTTTTGGTAGTAGAAGAAACCACCCGTCGCCTCTCAGGGGATAAGTTGCCCTTGCAATCGTGAAGAGAGGGATTTCGATGCTCGAGGCAAAAAGCGTGGCCACAGCGATCACACTCCACACGGATGTCCCTGGGGTCAGCGCACGCAACCACTCCGCATGGTCGTCGGCCACCTAAACGATGGGCCCCTTGAAAAGAATTTGGCAACCCTTTGTGAGAAATGTCATGCGAATTAGTCGATTCGCGCAGATTACGACAGCCGCGGTCAAGATGCAAAGAAACCGCCTCGTCCACACGCTGGCCTGGGTACTCAAGCCCCACCACACACCCACACACGGGGCAGGCGGCCACTTTAGCATCGTATTCTTCCGAGCACTGGTGTGCACGAGTGGTGATATGCCGTGAACAAAACACCTTCTTGCAATGGGTGCAGCGCGCCGATAATGGGTCAACCTCAGTGCAATCCTCTAAGGCGCACACGTTAGCATCATCATCATGTAACCCAACCTGCATTCGCGATGTATTAGGCGTTAACGGTTCTTCGAAAATGATCAGGTAATTTTTAAAGAATTAGAATACTGAAGAATCTAGATTTTACTATAGATTTAAGCTTCACTCGTGCTCGACACCGAGGATTAAAACTGATCTTAGATTTCAAAACATTAAAAGTTGATGAAAAAAGGTAATTCACATATCTACCAAAAGTAAGAAGCATAAATACATCAAATATGAATTATCGTTATTATCAATTGTTGTTTTTAATTGCATCAATTAATCGATCTTAGATTATCCGTCACTTACCCTTCCAATGTCTTTATGTGAGTCTAAAGAGTCAAATTTGTTTAGGAATGCCATCAAACCAAAACCTCGGAGTGAAGTATCCACTGCGAGCTCTAATTTACTCCCACTGAGTGTTGCACTCAGAAACCACGGTTCCTGAAGAGGTTCTTGACTATAATAAATTCCAAGTAAAACCCCACCCACACGGACCTCGGTACCTAGCATATCTCTTATTCTACAAGAGATTGAATCTAACTCGTCCGTAGGGCACGATTTGGCGATACCAAGTAGTTCTTCTAGAGGCCCTGCTTTCACAAAAGGAAAAAGTCTACCCTTTGATATGTTGGAGGCGTTCACACTTTCATCACCTAGTAATGTCCACCAATAATCTCGCAAATACACAAATCCATTCCTGAAAAGCGCCTCCAGAAGACCATGATGAGTACCCACAGTAAATAAAAGTTTACGAGATGAGAAAAGTGGAGCTAAATAGGAAGCTGACTCTACCACCGCACGCCAACGGCACTCTGCCTTAGGCAAAAAATTATTATCATAGGCCTCAAAGCCCCGGGCGCCAACAGAAACCAACTCCACACCTGGCCCTTTGAAAGGTTTTGTATTGAATACAATATTGGCTAGGGCAGGAGTTATGAATACAATGCGACGTGACTGCATCCCATGGGGGTTTAGATGATAAACGGGAACCAAGCGCCCCTTTCTCTCAGTTGCTGATTCTACCGTCGTACCATCAGTCGTAGTAGTAATCATACTATTATTATCAGAGTTATCATTATTATAATAACGAAAGAAATCCCTATCAAAAGAGTAAAATTCAGCAATGTTGCCCCAAACTGGGTCATTTTTTGAAATTGGAGCCCAAAGTTTGCCTCGCGTCCACTGATTCAATTTTTGTGGTGCAATTTTGATTTCCGTTTGGTCCTGTTGTCTGACTTTACGGAAAGCCGCTACAAAAAACCCGCCTGTGTCATCTCTATGTGGTAGCACACGTAACACTTTGGCGCCGTTGTATGATGAGGGTACTTGGCTTTCAATTAGACTTTCTAAATCGACTGAATGCAAGCCTCCTTGAGAGCGTAACTGTACACCTTGCTTCTGCAATATAACATTTACATCTAATAGTTCCACCGTATCCCGAAAAAGATCCAAGGCGGAACAGACTACCTCCTCATCCTCCATTGGATTAATACTACATGTACTATAAACAAGCACACCATTAGTTTTGAGCAAGTCCAGACCACGCCGAAGCAAAGCTTTTTGTGTGGGAACAAGTGTTTGGATATAGTCCAGCGACCATGTAGCGGCTACCGAGCGCTCTTTTCGAAGCGTACCGTCCCCACTACATGGAACGTCACAAATAATACGATCGAATTGTTTCTCAAACAGAAATGGTGCTTTTGAATTACCACCTAGTTTAGTCTCTGAGCTATTCGTCTCATAGTAATACAACTTCGGCCATTGTGTAGCGTCGCATCGCGTACACAAAACGTTTGGTGCGTGATAACGCTTCAGTCTTGCAGGTAGAATTTGAGTGGCTTTGACACGGTCCTTTTCATTGGCGATAACTACACTCTTCTCAATATCAACTGTCCAACCTCTTTTTAAGGTCTCATCAAGCATCTGTAGAGTTTTACTTCCTGGTGCTGCGCACAATTCCAGCACACTGTGATGTGGCTGTAAACCAAGAACCAAGACTGGGATAGCAGAAACAACCTCCTGGAATGATACAGCACCGGCAGCGTGCAGGGTTCGACAAACATACTCAGTATGCGGATGAGTGTGATAGTCATGGTTGCTGCTTGAAAACATTGCGGTTGATTCTGGTAAGACTTTTGTGAGAGAAACTATGCTTTTCACTTCCGAATCGCTATGCATGAGGAAGTTCAGCGCAATCCATCGCAGTACCCTTTCGCTTTGATGCACGCGCAGGGACATAGGCAATGAAATTCGAATAGAAGCCAGATACTTTTCCCATTCTAAAGTTGGGTTTAAAAACGCTTTAGAATCTTCTACAGTTCTATTTAAAGGAAACCCAACTGAGCTCCTATCGATTGTGAATGACGGCTCCGGCTCTATATCCTGTATGACCACTGGTGTAAAATTCTCTCGAATCAATGGCATAGAAGCGTTACCGCCTCGGATAATCGCGTCAAACCGTTTACCCTTAAAGTATTGTAGTAATGGAGTATCGTCGTTCCACGAATCAGCCTCGCCCCCCGCACCACAGCGTCGTTCGCGAATCGTCAAGGGACGACTTGCATGGGATAAGACAAAACACAGCTCGGCGACCGATACTTTGTCGATAGTCGACCGGCTGTGTGGGACACGCCGGGTGAGGTGAAGGAGGTCCCTTACCCCCCTCGGACAGCCCTCCTTAAGGGCAAGGAGAAGTCGCCCCAGACCATCCCCCTCAAGGAAGGTTGTCCCATCCTCCACGATAGCGCCATTGGGGTCACAAGAAGCACAGAAGTGCTGTGTCAAGTACTTGCGTGGGTCAGTGTTACAAGGGACGAGGTCGATTAAAGCGTGAAGGGCAGGGGATAAATTCTCACGCTCACGCTTACGACGCACCTCACGTCTTTTCATTCAAACTTGGAGTATAACCCTATTGATTATGTAGAAATTGGAGGGAGGAGATGATGGTAGGGAGTTATTATTATGATTAGGCATAGTTGTGCCACCATTAGGTGGAGATGAAAAATCCGAATTAATTTTGATAGTTTACCTCTGATGCTCATCTCTTCGAATATGAAGGCAATGCTATGGTTAACCGCATATAAAATAAAGAGTAGACTAATAGTAGTATTAATAATGGCTATAAGCATTGCGTGGCATTTAAACCTCCCAAAATTCCTTTCCCTCTTTGTTGCGCAAGTCTCGGTTTGCCCCATTCTGAAGTAAAAGGCGTCCTAAATCTTCATTATTTTCCATGGAGGCGTAAAATAAAACACTATCTCCTCGATAATCTTGAAGATTCATCCAACGCCGATGCGTTTCCTTAGATCTATTGATCTTCTGTTTGCTAGCGCACAAAAGCTTCTCAACAGTCTCCATATCGCCGCGCCCAACGGAACGATGGAGGGCCGACTGACCACGCCTATTTTGATGATTCAAGTCGGCTCCATTTTTTATTAAAAAATCGATCAAATGTGTATGCCCACGACTTGCAACATGAAGAAGAGATGTGTTACCCATTGAATCCTCTACATTGACAATTTTGTATGTAGCGACGGGCTCATGGGAAATAGACACTTCGTTTGAGACGTTGGGAGCGTCATTGGTCAGTACAACACCTTGCTCTGGGTTTACCTCAGTATCACCGAGGTTTCCAACGGCCTTATGTCCGCTATCGTTCTCTGCTTTTCCTCCCTCCACCGACTGCTGACGTTGTAATAAAGGACATTTTTGAAACAAATGATAGACTAATACACTTTTTTCAAGTAGTAATGACACAAATTTCTCGGGCGCACCCACCATACACGCGGTCATAAAGGGTGTTACGCCATCCTCATCCTCACTGAGCACGGGAGATCTATAGGGTTCATTCATAAGAGTGTTCGCTAAACCATAATTTCGAAGGGCAATTGACCAGTGAAATGCTGTGCGGCCATCCCCGTCTCGAAATCCCCAGACCCCATTTGCGTATTTAATGACATCATCTTCAGATTTGCTGTTTTTATTATCAGACCATTCTATTGTATCTGGAGCTATCTGTCGAAGATAAGAATAAATTGGCTCTACTTCACCCTTAGAACACAGTTCAGAAAGATTACTACCACCCATTTGATTCCTACGTTCCTTCAAGCGATATTGACACCTTGTTTATTTGGCTATTTCTTTCCACTTAATAAAGCATTTAAAAGAAAAAGTGTATGCAAAAGTATTGTAAATCTAATTTAAAGCTTCGTTGTGAAGATTCGCGCATACTGATTTTATACAAGGCTTGGACGAAGGATTTATTTTTGTAACAAAGTATCAAAAAAAAGTCCACGTCAAATTAAGCAAAAGCATAAGAAAATTACCATTCTATTAGAATGATTATGCAATTAAGTAAACAATTGCGTATCCAATATATCTATTGAGAGAAAAAATGATTCGATGATCCTAAAAATAAATAAAAAAGCTTTACTTGTTATAATGTACATACCAAGTTAAAAAGCGTGAGCAAATCAAAAAACATGCAACGTATTATGAGAGTGAAAAACATTGATTAAAAAGTGACTAGTAAAAAAAAAATCTTATCAACTGTGGTTTATTTAGCATAATCATGTGAAATCACATCCTCTTCCAAGGTGTCCTGCATAGATCTGTATTGTTTTGTCTTCTCTGCAAGATCAACAGCAAAGCGTAAGTTTGGAAGAAGCACCGCTAGTTGTACAAAAAACGGGATTATAATAAAGTTTATAAATGCGACTTGTCCTTTTCCTATGTTAGGCTTAAGACGATCCATGAAGGGACTGCAGTACATCCCTAACTGCCTCTCACGGTCACCTTGTTGATAAAACTCATCTGATATTTTGGCGCTCCATTGTAAGTATATGTCTAACGGGCGACCACAGTTTGAGACATCGGCCATCTTCAGTCCCAATGCCAAGGCAAAAATCTGGTTTTCATGATTAGTAAATACAGTATTTTCCTGAAGCTTTATTTTAAGTTGTGAAAGATAGTTTTCATGCAGTCCCATGTCCGTAGCCAACACCATTTCGATCACCGTCTCGCGAATTTCCCTACGTTGTTCCTCATGAAAGCTCGCCATGATGTTGAACTCGGGATTTTTCATTAACTCAAATACACTGTAGAGATGTAAGTTCTCCAACACACTGTGATCGTTGTACAACGTAGCCAAATAACTACGAGTTTTGATATGGAACTGATTATTGGTGCCAGGATGATCAAAATCGTGAATCGCAGCTGCTAAGATCGCAGCGAACATTTGCAGCCTTGTAAGCTCGCACTTATGAGCAAGTCCACCCTTAGTAAGAATGTAATGAATAATTTGTACCACGTCCGCAGCGTGCATGGAATTGTGATAGGGATTCGCGTGATAGCCACCCTCGACAACACTAATCCAATTCAATACAATCTGTTCATCCATTCCGAACTCGTTCATAAAGTTATACTTGCACAAAAGCGCATACAAGGTCACAAAAAGGGATCCCCCATGGGGTTGATTGGAAAGAGAATCACAATGATCCCCGGTCATGGCAATTTGTATGTCGAACACGCTGTAATCCCAATCATCTATTTTATCAAGTGCGTACCATATAGACTGGTATTGGGTATTCCTAAAGTTCTTAATTTTTTTTGTAAGTTCCTGAGAAGAGTAAGGTTGAACTACCCGGTTATCAAGGGATTCTAAATCGCACTCCTCCTTTTTTATCCATCGACTCTTAATTAAACGCAATAATTCGTTATCAAAGTCTTTACAGGTGTGATCTATAAGTGGGTTAGGCACCCTTGCTGCATTACCTGGATTTTTCTGCTGTTCCCTTTCTTTGAGTGTCGCAGATACATTATTCTCTTGCTTCTTTGACTCATAATTAATAAATTTCTTAAATTCCAACAGGCGCTTTTTTTTGTACTCCACCTGTTTTAGTGTGAGAGCGAATGACTTCTGAAGTGATTGGATCTGAAGATTAAGCTTTTCATGTTTATTCAGCATAATAGCTTTATCACTCATGACTTCCAGCAAAATATTCCGGTGCTCCTTTGGATGAGATATCAGTCGTTGTGATTTAATCATACACTCTATGATGTAGGTCTGCATGTCGTCCGTGGTTTGAATTAATATAAATTCGATGCCACTACAAAAAAGGTGTAATTCATTAGCGTAGATAGTCGTACGACTTTTATCAAACAATTCCGTATCCGCAGTGTCTTTAATGCCGCAAGTATTTTTTTGTGCAAAAACAGAGTTTTTACTAAATGATAAGCCTACTGTCTCAAAGAATTCAGGCCAACTCATGCCTTTTCTTGCTTTATTTTTCACCATACTAAGAGCCTTTTCATCGTGTTCACATTTGAACGAAGATTTCTCAGTGATATGAAAAGCATAAAGGCCCAACTTTTGAGCATCATCTGTCATGAAACACATCATAATGATTTTTTCTAAAGACGTTGCATACATCATAGGCAACTTATGCAGGTGAGTCAACATTTCAGGCATTCAATTCGGATAGTATTACTGTAAAGACAGGTAAATTCCCCGTGCCTCAGTTTTTTATCATATAAAGGGCTTATTGCAAAACTCGCTCCGGCGGTTAAGCAATTTTTAAGAAACGCTTAAAGTCGAAAAGCTTATAAATATAAAGATATCCTTAATAAAGCGGAGGAAAAATAACAATGCAATTAAAATAATAATAATAATAATAAATTGATTGTTCAGTTCCTCAAATTCTATAAAAATATCATTTTTTTTCATCATTGACTCGCGAAAATAAACCCGATGTTTCTTATGATTCGCTTGCATCAAATAAAAGCGCACCTCGCTACTCATGCTACTTCTAACGTATGCATGTCTCTGGTTGACAGTAAAACACAACACGCAAACAGTACGCAATGGTTAATTCATTCTAGTTAAAAATGAAAGGGTTGTCTTTCAAAAAGAATTCGAATTTTCGTTGGAGATTTGTCCGCAATGCAGTTTTTTCATGTTCACATAGTTCAAGGTTGTGAGACTGAAAACAAGGATAGCAAATATTCCATTGAGATCACGAATTTAACGTAGCAATGACCTTTCTTTTTTCAATTAACAAATGTCACTTAGCGTGGAAAATGATTTAAAGGGTAACATTATACAGAAAAAGGTGAAACAAACTTAGGATATCAAAGACAATAACTTGAAAAAAACTTGGATCCCATATCCGCAAAAAGAAAATTAAATGCATTTTTGCCCTGAGACGATAAAACTATAAACCAGTTGTGCGCATACATGATAGTTTGTATTTCGTTACTGCTACAAAACCTTTGATGTACATATTTCACTGTTAGGAATCGTGCATGTATACATGATAAATAGCAAAGTATGCACAAGGCACATTATTGTCTTGCTTTTTTTCAAAGCACTGCCTACAATAGCCTCTCTTCCAGTATATATTGGGCCCCAACTCTGAGCAAAATAAAAACTTTCTGCCTGATTTGTCGCTGTTCGATTCCATATCACCAGAAGAAAGTACCTCATTATTCCTGTGTATAATTACCATCACAAAAATTAGCAAAAACCTCTTGCTGGGCTGGAGTAAGTGCACGGAGAGGTTGATGTGGACTTTCGGGGTACTTATCAAAATACCGTGTATCGCCTGCTCTGTGAAATCGAATCGGAATTGGTGTACTGAGTTTTTTTGTGAGCACAACATCCCAATCAACTCCGGTGTAGTAATTATGATGCTTGATATCATGTACACCACGTTTCCTATTACCGAGACGTTTGTCGGAATCTGGTGTGAGAAACCCCCTAATTAGATCTTTCGCCTTTGCATCCACCCAGTGTGGAAACAACACTTTGCCCTCCAATATTCTCTCGTAGATTTTATACGGGTGTTCATCAAAGAAGGGAGGATAGCCTACAAGCATTTCATAAAGTAAAATCCCCAGTGCCCACCAGTCCACCGCTTTTCCATGGCCCTTGCCTTGAATAATTTCAGGAGCCAAGTACTCTGGTGTACCACAAAGAGTAAATGTCCGATCTACTACTCGCTTAGCAAAACCAAAGTCGGTAATTTTGATGTTCCCATCGTAATTAAGAAGAAGGTTTTCCGGTTTGAGATCTCGGTATACGATCTCTTTACTGTGAAGATATTCGAAAGCTAAAATTACTTCAGCAGAATAGAACTTTGCCACATCGTTCGGAAATTTTCCTGCCTTCCGTAAATGCGAAAACAACTCCCCACCAGGAATATATTCCATCAAAATATAAAGATAATTCTCATCCATATAACCTTTAATCATATTAACGATGAAAGGGTGACAAATTTCACTAAGGATACTAGCCTCTGCGAGAGTATGATCAACCTGCTTCATTCGCAAGATTTCCTGTTTTTTCATGATCTTCAAAGCACAGAATTTTGAGGAGTCTTTGTAGCGGCATATCCGAACACGACCAAAGGTCCCTGTACCAATGGTCTCAAGTCGCTCTAACTCTGATAACTTCCATTTACTTGCTTCTTCTTTAGTGACCATCTTCTGATATTCCACTAGTCACAATTTATTTAAATCACAGGAAATGCACAATCTAAATGAGGAAAATTCTTCAAGTGTATATAAAAAACAGAACACTACCTAGAGTGTTTTTCTGTTCAATTGAGAAACAAAACATAGTGTTGATTACAACAACATAAAAACAAAAGTGTGGAGAGAAAATAACAATCAAATATCAAAATAATATGGATACTCTTCATATTTAAATTGATATGCTCAACGATGGTGATAAGTTAGTATATATGCATATGTAGTGAATGAATAGATGGTAGTTGCAAAAGGTGAAAATTAAATAAACAGCCTGCTAAAATTAAGGCCTGCTGGTTTTGGTTGTTGGTTCCATCCTTGATCAATTTGGTCTAATATCTTTTGATTTCCTTTGGTGCGTTCCCTAAGCTGAGACAGTAAATTGGTATCACCATTGCGGCGACAATCAGTGGCTGCGGCTAACCAATCCTCACAAATGACGTAATACTCCATCCTTCGCTCGATTAGCGGCACGCGAGGAATGTACCGCTTCGCTTGCTGTGGGCGATTGTATGATAATAAAACACTAACAAAATTCTCCGCACCGATCAAAAGCTGTGTTTGTGGTTTGGTCCCAAGTTCGTCAATCAACAACCATTGCCCTGTTCTTGAGAAAGCATTCAACATACACCACTGAAACGTCTTGTCAGGAATGTTGAATTTTATTTTTAACTTTTCTGCAGTGGATTGCCGCCCACGCTCAAGAACTAAACGTATCATATCGACTATGCTAGCAGTCAAAAAGCGATCGTCGTCAAACTCTTTCATAAGATGAGTTTGCTCTTCAATAGCTGATAAATGAATGCGGAGAGATTTCACGCTGGAGTCCGAGAGAGATGTAATTTCGCTCGAATTTAAAAGAGGTGAAAATAGCTTATTAAAACCATGAGTGTTAGAATGGGCAGTTTGATCAGATTCCCTCGACGAGAGTACAATGGTTTGTTGGATAGCTGTACTCTTGCATTCTTGGAGCATTTCCCATTGGACCTCAGCACGAAGTCTCGAATTTCCAAGTGAAGATCGTAATCGCTTTTCTTCTTGGAAATATTTATGCAAGCTAATGACAATCTGATATCGAGGATTCCTTTCAAAGAATGAATCCATAACCTCGCGGTTGACTTCACTAGCAAATGAATATTGAAAAATTAAAGCTTTTGAGTCTTCGAAAGCTTCCAGAAGTGGTATCGACTGGACTCTTCTGGTTTCCATCAAATGCGATACAACAGTAAAGATGAGATCGGTGTCACTTGTGGCTACAGCGCTTTCTAATGCCAATTCAGGTTCGCCAATGGTAAGAAACATCAGCACCTTTCGCGAAGGATTTGCTTCAGCTTTCAGAAAAACAAGAGCCGCAAGTCTATTACCACTCATATTTGCAAGTCTTGCCAACTCGGAAAACAAGGGTCGATTGAATTTCTTTAGCTTCTGAACAATTAAATTGGCAACTTCCTTTTCCGGTAATGTACTTTTCCTACTGTTTTTGAGCTTAGCTAAAGCCCATCTATTTAGAACATCATCGCATTGGATGCCTAAGCTATCACAAATTGAGTAGGCCACTTGGTACTGATCACAGCAAACAAGTCTGTCGATAAGCTTTTCGTCACCAAGCGAACAGAGTTGTTCATGAGTCAAGAGCATTCCGGCTGAACAATTTCGTAGGGTATTTCTAACCCGAAGCTTCTGTACGGTGCTCACGAAAAAATCTGAACCGTAAACGGGACAAAACGACTTTCCAAAAGCTGCGATACGAAGCAATCTCTTTTGCTGAGTAACATCTAATTCATGATTGGATGCTGCAACACAATCATTGATCGCTTCGACTAATTCATCAACATTTTTCTGAATTTCTCGAATCATAGTAACAGCTGCCGCATTTCCTGCTATATATTCATCATATGTAGATAATAAAACTGCACCGTAGGCACACGATCCGACCGAAAAAACTCGGCATACCTCAAGAGATATGACCTGTAAAAATTGATAAAGTGTACTACCAATTAAACGAAGGCCATCACACTCTTGTAGCAGAAGGGTATCGGATGGTAAATCGTAAACACAGTCCAACGCCTCAGGATCATCCGGGTTAATAAGGAATAAAGTTGCAGATGACTCCATCCCACTATCTTCAACGCTCCCTACTGTTAAACATGCAACACATCTATTGCCGCACCACGCTAGCTGAGGTGTCCTATTAAAGTCAATATGCCCTATTTTAACAGTATCATCGAAGTTTATGTTGGTACAGTAAATTGATCCATCCTCTAGTAAGAGCGCTACACAATTTCCATCTGGGGAAAGTGAAAACTGTCTAATATTCCCTCCTGAAAAAGAAATGTTCAAGTTGCTGCACTTTGACACCGGACTAAGTACACAATGGCAAATGTCAGAGAAAATAGACGTAGACATAGCTGGCAAATAAACCTCCGGAAATCCTGTACCACTTTGTCGGGACGGAACAACAAGCATTGCAAAAGTTGAAAGCATCCTTTGAACCCCCGAGGGTAAATCCACTGTTTTCAGTACATAACCATCGCGCTCGGAATACAGAAGAAATAACAAGTTTACTCGAAAATCTTCACGAAAATAAGTAAGACCAACAAATCCAGATTCAGTGGAAGCAAATAATTGTGGCAGTGTGTCGATAGAAATACTAGGTGATGCGATCTCCCCTCGATAATTATAAAAATGTATTGATTTGTTGTTGAGCATAACTATCAGATTACTGTTGGAATCATTCCAGCACATAAATATGACATTGTATGTCACTGTGATAAAAGGTGAAATGCAATGGGGATGCAGTACACTATTGTAGAGATAAATTTTCCTTTCTTCTGATACCGCTACGTCCTTGCGATAGATAGCTATAAGGCCTCCACATTTATTATAAGCAACTATGGATTCATTCAAAGAGCCAATAAAATCTGTATTTTCATATTTTATGTCTAAAAGTCGTACTAAATTGTTAGCTCCTAAAGAAATCCATGTGCCACTTCTGGATAACTTACTAAAACGCTTAGAACGTGTCATTGTCTAATATGTTCTTTATTATTATTCTCATTTGATATGTAAAAGTTAAAATAAAATTGTTGGAATAGTTATAAAAACAACAACTAAATATGCATCTAAACAATAAATAGCAGTGATGAAATTAATTATTAGTTAGATAAAAAACGCTGTGTTGTACTGATAATACATGTTAAATAAAAAAATACTCAGCTCACTACAATATATGTAAATATACAAAAGAATAATTTTAAAAGAAGTAAAGCTAGTCTGCAGAATTAATGCTTATGGTAATCCTAGATGTCATTTGATCTGTGAATCTTACTTTTTAAGAAATCCATCCACTGTAAATAATGGTAGAAAAGCAAGGGTTTCTAATATAGCGAACTCTACAAAAATATAGATTTCTATTTTGTCGAATTAGATTAAGGAATATTTATTACTTATTAGAAAATAAGCTGCTAGATCATATCAGGGATTGAGGGAAATCGAACCAAGGCTTGAACTTCAGGTAAAATGTTACAGTGAACACGAGCATACTTAGTTTTTTTCCTGAAAGAGAATGAATGATTATAAGTGTTTAATAGATAAAACTTAGGTGATATTTTTACAAGGAAGATTTATGTAGATGATAAGCATATTCCTTTGTAAAATGTCGATATGAATATCAATACAAAGTAAACTGCCTTGATAAATTAAGAAATTCGATAAATCTTTTTTGGGGATAATACTTAAGATGCATGAAGAAGGATAGAGACTATTTAAAAATACTCCAGATAAAAATCAAAATAAACAACTAATGGGAAAATAAAGCGAGCTCCTTTATTGATATAATTCTTAAAGAGTAGGAGTTTCAACAGTAAATTATATTCAATTCAATGAATATTTTATTCTTAAGTAACCCCAAAATAGAAGTTAGGATGATATTACAGTTATATAAGAAAAAAATGTGCTCGACAAAGAAACTGAAATATTGGTAGAGATAACATTAACATATAATATTGCCTTAACTAAATATATGAGAAATGTTATATGGTAATAAAGCCTGAGATAAGTTAAGAATTCTATCATGAGTCTTCTTTATTAAGTATAGTTTATACTCTTTGGAAGGTTCGATTGCTTCTCATTGGTATGAAAAAAAGAATTAACCTTACAAGCGTAAACAAGATTGATAAACACTTTAAAAATATTACAGAGATATTAATTTACAACCTATATGTTTATTTACGCATCAAAAAAAAGGTGAAAAGGAACTTGTGATAAATTATTAAAATTCAACAAAAGTATATTTTTTATATAATTCTTAGTGGTGTATATACAACATTTCTTACATTATAGTGATATAAATATTTATATCATAATAAAGATTACGTTTGTTCTTTGAAAATGTGAGGCGATAGAGAGTAATAATAACACAGATTTCTAGTAAAGGTACTGAATCTAAATGATAAATAAAGTTAAAGTGACTAATACAGATGGCGTTACCTGAATAATACGACATCATTTAGTAGATAAAAGAAAAAAGACAATGTACATCATGTATCACATTAACGCGGTAAAGGTTATGTACTAAAAAAGATACATTG